ACTTCCCTCTCAGGACTGCTTTTGCTGTATCCCATAGATTTTGTGTTGTCGTGTTTGTTTTCACTGGTTTCCAGGAAGTTTTTAATTTCTTCCTTGATCTCATTAGTAACCCATTCGTTGTTTAATAACATGCTATTTAGCCTCCAAGTGTTTGAATGTTTTTGTGTGTTTTTATTGTAAATGAGTTCTAGTTTAATTCCACTATGATCTGAGAAGATGCTTGATATGATTTCAGTTTTCTTGAATTTGTAGAGACTTGCTTTGTGTCCTAACATGTGGTCTAACTTTGAGAATGACCCATGTGCACTTGAGAAGAATGTATATTCTGCAGCTTTGGGGTGAAATGTTCTGTAAATATCAATGAAATTCAACTGATCTAGTTTTTCTTATAAGGACTCTATGTCCTTGGTAATTTTTTGTCTAGAAGATCTCTCAAGTAGTTTCAGTGGCGTGTTAAAGTCACCCACTATGATGTGTTGCTATTGATCTCACCCTTGATGTCCTCCAATTTTTTAATATATTTTGGTGCTCCCGTATTTGGTGCTTATATGTTTACCAGGGTTATATCCTCTTGTTGGATTGATCCATTTAATATTATGTAGTGACCTCTGTCTTTTATCATGGCCCTTATTTTGAAGTCTGTCTTGTCAGATATGAGTATTGCTACACCAGCTTTTTCTTTCATTTCCATTTGCTTGGAAAATTTTTTTCCATCCCTTCACTTTCATCCTGTGTGAGGTGGGTCTCTTGTAGACAGCATGTATATGGGTCGTGTTTTCTTATCCATTCAGCTACCCTATGTCTTTTGATTGGAGCATTTAAGCCATTTTAATTTACCATAGTTATTGATAGATAGTTATTAGTTGCCATTTCAATTTTATGCCTGTGTTTCTCTCTCTCTCTCTGTTTATTCTTCTTCTTACAACAGTCCCTTCAGCATTTCTTGCAGTGCTGGTGTGGTGGTGGTAAATTTCTTTAGCTTTTTTTTTCTTATCCGTGAAGCTCTTTATTTCTTCTGCAATTTTGAATGATAGCCTTGATGGATAGAGTAGTCTTGGATTCATACCCTTGGCTTGCATTACTTGGTACACTTCATCCACTCCCTTGTGGCCTGCATAATTTCTATTGAGAAATAAGCTGACAGTTTAATGGGAGCTCCCTTGTAGGTAACTTTCTTTCTCTGTCCTGTTTCCTATAAGATTCTTTCTTTGTCTTTAATGTTTGCCATTTTTATTATGATGTGTCTAGCTGTGGGTCTTCTGGAGTTCATCTTGCTTGGAACTCTCTGTTTTTCCTGGATTTTTGTGACTTTTTCCTTCACACATTTAGGGAAGCTTTCTTTCGTTATTACTTCAAACAGGTTCTCTATTCCTTTCTCTGATTTTTCTCCTTAAGGTATCCTTATAATGCGAATGTTGTTACATTTTGTATTGTCCTACAACTCCCTTAAATTTTCCTCTGCTTTTTAATTTTTTTTTTCCATATGCTGCTTTATTTGGGTCTTTTTCTCTACCTTTTCTCCTAAGTCGCTGATTTGGTCTTCAGCTTCTTCTAATCTATTACTGAACTGTTCTAAGGTATTTTTCAAAATTGCTATGTCATTCTTTATTTCCTCTTGGTTTTTATGCCTAGCTGCTACCTCTCTTTTTAAGCTGAAGTAGTTCCCAGTGAGCTCTTCATAATTCTTATTAAGTTGCTTGTAGTTCTCACCAAATTGTTTGAGCACCCTTAAAATCATTGCTTTGAATTCTTTATCTGACAATTTGCTGTCTTCCATTTCCTGTAGTTCCTTTTCCAGTGATTCCTCTTTTTCTTTCCTTTGGGTCTTGTTTCTTTGTCTCCCCATTTTAGCCGTATGGTAGCTCTAGACCCGGTGAGGAATGTTTGGATATGTAGGCAGCTTACTGTATATTAAATAAGGCTATTGTGCCTCCCAGACTTTTTTGTTGCATGTCGCTTCTTGTCTGCTGTGGATCCTGGGGGACTGATTACTGAGGGCTGGTATTGATGTGTCCTGGTAGGTACTGCTGCTGGATCACATGGGTTCCTCTGGAGCTGTGTTCCCAGCTGGTCACTGGTGCCACCTGTAGCTGTATAGCTCAGGCCATGTTAGAGCCATGCTCCCTGCTCGTACAGTAGGCAGCTGTGTTGCACAGGCATCACTGGAGCCCTGGCTCCCTGCCGATCTTGTGGGCAGCTGGGTTGTACAGGCCTCATTGCAGCCCCTACTTCCCGCTGATCCTATGGGGAGCTGGATCGCACGGTCCCTTCTGGAGACCCCATGCCACACCTATCTTGTGAGCAGCTGAGTCACATAGGCCTCTCTGGTGCCCCAGCGCCCCGCAGGTCCCACGGGTAGCTGGATCGCACAGGCCTCTTGCTACAGGCACTTTTAAAATTTAGGAAACACTTGTAATGTCACCAGAGTTCAGTGGGGCCTATGTGACCTTCAACCCTGTCATAATACATGCTTCCTAAGAAGAATTTATTGAACTTGAGTGTGTTATGTGCCGGATGCTATGGTAGGATACAAAGAAGACCTGTATTCTTAAGGTGTTCATAGTTTAGTGGTGAAGATAGAAATAGACAATTAACCTTTTTGTGGAAGACCTTGAATGCCATACTAAGGCTTTTAAACTTGATTCCGTGGGCAATGGAATACTGCAGAACATGCATACAAAGTGACATGAGTGCTAGACCAGAGGAAAATACAAGGTGCTATGGGAATACAGAGGAGGAAGCCGTTAAGTCTGAGAGGAGGTAAGTCAGGAAGGCTTAATGGAAGAGATGACATTTGAGCTGGACCTTCAAGGGTGGGTCAGATTTTTACATAAGGGGAGTAAGTGCAAAGTACAGGTTATCTCTGATAAAGAAACCCAAGACAAGCCAGGAAAATAAGGCATGTTGAATATTTAGTGAAAGATAAGTATGGAAGAGTCGTTGAGACACATTGTGGATAGCCTTGAATGCTGAATTAAGACATAGCCTAAGCAGAGGAGAGATGTAATGAGGTGGTCAAGTCTTCCTTTATGCTTCCTTCTGAAATTTCACTGAGTCTATCCCCTCATTTTCATTCCCCACTGCCTTTGCCCTGATTCAAGCCTGCACTACCTCTTATCTGGACTGTTCAGCCTCCTTAACTAGTCCCTCCTCTTCTCCTCCCTCAGTGTTCTGCATCAGCTTAATCTTCTTGAAGCACAGCCCTTACTTAGAAACCTTCTGTGGTTCTGTTTTGTCAGCAAGATAATATCTAAATTCCCTGACAAGGTAGTTCTAGCCTCCCTCCTACCCACCAACTGTACCATGTGACCTGCATATCCAGCTTTGTCTCCTCATTCCCTCTTCATGAATCTCATGCTTCCCTCCCCTTGTTTCCTGTACACAATCCAATGAGGTAAGAGATAAGAGAATAGGGTAGTAACCAGCACATAGGCTCTGCAGCTAGACTTCTTGGGTTCAAATCCCAGCTCACTGACTACTAACCATATAGCCTCTGGGGAAATTACTTAACGTCTCCTCAATTCAATTACCAATTACCCCATCTCAAAATGGGGTGTTGTAATTATTCAATTAAGCTTCATATGTAAAGTTTTAAGAACAGTGCCTGGCACTTAGTAAGGTCTCAGATGCTAGTATACTTGTGATTATGCTAATTTTCTACCTTTACTCATGTGGTTGCCTTCTTGAATACCCTTTTCTGCTTGTTTCCTAATTGAATCCTACTCAGTTCAAATGGCCTATCCCCAAGCTAGCATTATTTTTGCTCCTCCCATAGTTGGAAGTAATTTCTCTCCTTTTCATTTTTATAACTTACCAATTTCTTTTTGTAATAGGGTTATTTATGTACTAGATAGATAGATAGATAGATAGATATAGGTATAAATAGATATATATATTTAGATATATTTAGATCTGTTAGTTGTTTCATATGTGAACTGGGTTTCTTGAGTCTAAAAACCTTTTTTATCTGTGGAATATATGCTGAGTAATTGAGGATTATATCTAATTATATTTTAGAAAGGTTTACCAAAAAATCTTCCCTTTTCTAACATTCAGATCATTCCTCTGTTATAGTACATATATGACCAGTGAATTAGTATTAAATTCCAAGACCCACTGGAACATTCCAAGACTGCCAGGGATGCCTGAAACCACAGATAGTACCAAACCCGATGTATACTATGTTTCTTCTTATACATACATACTTACAATCAATGTAATTTATAAATTGATCACAATAAGAGATTAGCAACAATAAAGAATAAAATGGAACAATATACTGTAATACAAGTTAAGTGACTGTGGTTTCTCTCTCTCCAAATATCTGGAATTTTCCATTCAATATGTATTCCCATAGCACCTTGTATTTTCTTCTGGTCTAGCACTCATGTCACTTTGTATGCACAACTGAAACCATGGAAAGTGAAAGCGCAGAAAGTGAAATTGAATAATGGGGACTATATTTATCTTATTTTCCCTGGCAGATTGCAAACGTAGGGGCAGAATTCAAGTCTGGTTCATTTTGCTAGCTCCATGGAGTACTTCATTATGTTACCTTGTACATACTAAGCACCGACATTATTGGAATGACTGGCTGATCAGATGAGTGCTTCAGAAAAATAATATCAGTGAAGGAAAGATTGAGCTTGAGAGGCTGAAAGGCATAGAGCCCAGTTAAGAGGCTATTATGATCCAAGCTAGAGGTGGTGAGGGCTTAGCAAGTGACAGGAGGAATAAAATGGAGGGAATGAATTGTTGAGTGTCAGAGAACCATATAACTACATCTCTGGTCCAAAAATTGGAAACAAAATGCAAAGGAAAAGGGTTTATGTCACATTTTGAGTTCTCTTTACTTAATTACAATTTATTCTACTGGTCAGGTCTAATTCATAGTTTTATCATTTGGGTAATGGTATTAGTTTGCTTTTCTTCTGTAGATAGTAACTTTACCTATAGAGAGTTGTGATGCATTGGTTAACTGAAAACTCTTTTTTAAATAGAAAAATGAAAACCGATTCTATCTGAAGGAAGTGAATGTCAGCATGTATTTGGATAATGGCTCTGGTAAGCAAAGTATTGGCCTTGGGGAAGAGTGTGGGTTACACTGAAGGAACAGAAACCATAGTTACCTTATATCAAATAATGCCATATTTAATGAAACAGAAGATTTCATGTGAAAATCATACCTTGACCACAACTTAAAATCAGTAACTTAGAACTATAATGTTCTATTTTTTACAGTGTCCCGTATTTTCAAATCATGGTGGATAATAGTTAAGGATGTGACTGATATTTAGACTATAGAAACATCTGTAGAAAAACAGGGAACAGTGGCAGATGATGACTATAATTAGTTGGGTGATCACATTGTAAGATATAAAAATGTTGAATCTCTATATTGTACACATGAAACTAATATAATATTGTATACCAACTATACTTAAATTTAGAAGAAAAGGAAAGATAGGGAACGTAGTGATCGGAAGAATTGCTTTTTGTAGGTAGACCTTGTACCCCAAGCTCTTAAACTTCACTGAAAAATCCTGAGGACTGTCCCACTTTTATGTTGAAAGGATAAGAAGTTACTAACATATTTTTTCCTTTAAAGTTTTCAGCACTGCAAATAACAATCTTAGCTACTGGGATGCCCCCCTGGGAAGTTCTTATATGTGCAACAAAGAGCAGACGGTTTCAGTGTCTGGAGCATTTCAGATAAATACCTTTGGTCTAAGGGTTCAGCCTTTCAGTGTGATAGAAGGAAAGTACTCTACAGGTAAGAATCAAGCCAGTTTTATTAATAATTAATGGTCTTATGTTGACTTTTCCTTTGAGTCATGGAGACTTAAGCATTGAAATAGAGAAATGTGAATTCACCTCTCAACTCCCTTGTAGAGTTCTCAAAGCCTTGAGCAAGTTGTGTTACTCTATATTTGGCTCATCATTTTGCTCAAAGTAGATTTTTTTGTCATCTGAAAACCATTTTCAACAAAGTTCTTAAAGCTAAAAACTGATAGAAGCTTTACGTGAGCTTTACTTAAGGTAGGGACGCTCCCCCCCAGGTTTTAGTTTATAGGAAGGATGGCACTTTGGAGCAGCAGCTTTGAGCTTCTTGCAGCTGCCTTGGAGCCATCTTCTAGCTGGAATACTCAAATAAAAGCAGTTTGGTCACATTTTGTTGAGACAGAAGATTACAGTAGCAAAGCCTCAAATATCATGAACTATGTTTTGGCCAGACAGAATGATTTGGAGAGTTTTAAAAGCATGTGCCAATGTAAATGTGTCATTTTGAAAATCTACTCAGTCCCAATGATGGTGTTTATCAGATTTTTAATGAAAACTTTGTGAAGAGCTTACAACTGTGTTTATACAAATATGAAAGATGCATTTGGCATTATAAGATTAAAATGTGCATGAAGAAAAATAGTACATAAAATTTCTTAATTAACTTGTCCTTTTAAACCATTTACTTAAAATTGGGGGTTTGTGGGTTATTGCTCTGCTGAGCACTCTTGTCCAGTCATCCACAGCATTTTAAACAATTCCATGGTTTAGAAGGAAACGTAGAAGCTGTGTTTAAAAGTAAGTATGCTTTGAGTCATTCAACTACTTTTGCAGTAGTGTTGAACACCTAGCCCAACTTGGTTAGGTGAAAATAAATTGGATTCTTTACCCTACCATTTTTGTGATGAGAGAGGTTAATCACACTTAAAAACTTTTTTCAAAATTTATTTTACCTTTTATCTGTTGTTTTGTTTTTTTGTATGTGCCCCTAGCAAGAACTGAACACGGGACTCTCTGGTCCACAGGCCAACACTCCAACCGCTGAGCCAAACTGGCCAGGGTTATCTATTTTTCTTTTTCACTTAAATTATTTTGATCCTTTAATAATTTTCTTCTTGAAATCTTTATCTAGCTCCTCTACATTATTACTTAAATTTAGGCCCAGATTTGTGTTTAGAATTTAACAGTATATCATTTGCAGTATAATACAGCTCAAACCTGTATATCTAGTCTGCTAAATAGAGATGAGCTCTGTAATTTCTCTAATTCAAGACTTCGCTTTTTATGTACATCGAATTTAAAATATCACCTAAAGGACTATACAACATGTAATACAGGGATTGGCAAAAGTAGGTTTATAGTTGTGAGTATGCAAAAGAGTTTATTCTTTTTTTTTTTTATCCTCACCTGAGGACACTTTTTGCATTTATCTTTAGATAGAGCTGGAGGAAGAGAGAGAAAGAGAGAAAGAAACATTGATGTGAGAGAGACACATCGAGTGGTTGCCACCCACACAACCCCAGCTGGGACGGGGACAAACTGCAACCGAGGTGTGTGCACTTAGTGGAAACCGAACCCAGGCCTCTTTGGTCCGCAGACTGACACTCTAACTGCTGAGCCAAACTGGCCAGGGCCAGAGTTTATTCTTATATTATTATTTTTTATTTGTATTTTTCCATACGAACAACTGTAAACCTACTTTTGCCAACCTCAGAATTGATCATGAATGCATAATTGATTTGTGGGGCTAGACTCTTCACTGTGGATACCTATAAATACAATGCTCTGATAATACTTGTCTATATAAAAGAAAGAAATAGACTTGCAGTAAAGTAAAAGACTGTTGATTGGATTTTACTGGGTCATACTACTCCCTAGAAATAGAAAAAAGTAGCCTCTGTGGACTGTTAGTCCTGACCAGATTGATAAATATATGATAAATGTAATAATGAACACTTAAATTAGTAAGCAGTCCCAGTTTCTTGATCTTTGCAGCCACTAAAATCATGTACTAAGTTCAGGGATCTGTATACTTTTCTTTAAAGGCTCAGACAGTAAGTTTTTTAGGTTTGAAGGCCATATGGTCTCTGTCACAACTAGTCAACTCTTCTATTGTAGCACGAATACAACCATAGACAGTAAACAAATGAGTGTGGCTGTGTTCAGTAAAACTTTATTTGTAGATACTGAAATTTGAATTCTATATAATTCTCATGTCTCAAATATTCTTCTTTAATTTTTTTGCAACTATTTAAAAATGTTTAAAAGCCATTTTTAGTTCTTGGCCATCCTAATCCCATGATTAAACCTTCCTGATCTGGTCCCAGTCTCCCAAAAGACATTCATTCTACCACTAAGAGGCTCATCTGGCCATGTGAAATGGGCTAGATTAGCTCTCTTCATTTCTAATAAAGTAATATTCCTGTTTTGGAAAGGACTTTGAATATAAATAAACACACGTATGTGTTTACTCATGGATATGAGTATATATGTATTCATATATATATGAATATATATACACACATACACGAATGAAAGGACAAATAAGTTTAGGATTTTAAAATATACCTGTCTTAATTACTTGAAGTTGAACTTGTAAGAGCAGTTCTGAATTTTGAATCAACATCTTTTACTTTGAGACATTCTTTTTTGATTATACTCATTATTTGTTACACACTTTTTCTCACCTACAGCGCAGGAGTGTTCGCTGGATGATGACACCATTCTAATACCAATTATAGTTGGTGCTGGTCTTTCAGGCTTGATTATCGTTATAGTGATTGCTTACCTTATTGGCAGAAGAAAAAGTTATGCTGGATATCAGACTCTGTAATACTAATCCATATGCGATGTCTGTTCCAAAATAATAAAGCAAGTACAAGTTCCAACATGTAATACTATTCAATTTAAAGTATATTTACTTGTAGTTCTGATCTTAGAACTGGTGGTATGGGGGATTTTGTACTTAAACACAGACACCCCAAAACTAGAAACTACAAATTGGTCACATGAATTTGGTTTTCCCAACCAAGGCATTTAAATCTGTTGTTTCTAGAGCAAAAGGCATGTGCAAAATCACCTGGATTATAGGTTCTATTTTATTGGCTTGATTTAGTATTTCAGTGTTTTTACTTTAGCTATTCTGACTAGAAATATACAGTTTAGGAAAAACAGTTTTTAAAAAGATTTGTTTTCATGCATGTGGTTAAATTGAGACAGTACATTCTACAGTGGATTTGTACTTGCTCCTTTTGCATTTTTTTCTGTGATTTTGTTTGCAGATTAACTTAGCTGCTTTGACATTGCTGCATATTTGACCTATGAGAGATATGCCAGTAGATTTGAACAGAGTCTAGTATTATTATGTTCTTAGCAATGACTGCATTCCTAATACTTTTTTAATACATTTATATTTAATGTAGCTGTAATGACAAAAGATGCAAAGCTTTTGAAATTTTAGAATAGGTGTTGAGCTTATTATTGAAGCTTTTTTAAAATAACTGCATATTTCAATCTTTTAAATTGCAAGATACAAAACTATTCCAGCTGGGCATTTCAATTTTCTAGGTGCTTTAGAGATAATTGCTAGGCAGTGTCACTTTTTGGGCATTAGTCTTCTGTACCCGTAAATTGGCCTCTACCTGTAGTGTTAAAGTTAATGTAGACTTCTCTTTAGACTTCCAGTGTCCTCGGTAACAGTAGTGTGTTTTATTCCTTTTTCGCCTTTTATTTTCCTTAAAGAAGAAATGCCAGTATGTCCGAGAACCTAGATAAAGAAGAGCACTTAGAGTTATAATTTGCACCTAACCCAAAAGTGTTGGCCTTCTCCATTAAAACATTGTTCTTAAAAAAAAAAATTTTCTTTGTTTCCAGCTTACATTGATTGCTACAACATTTACTAATTTGGCTTTCCCATTTAAATGGTTCTGTGCTAATCAAAACTTATATTATTATTGTTCATTATGGTAGAATCATTAATGATTCATGAATTTTGTGTTTAGTTTTGTCCTCTTGGGAAATTCACCAGTTGTCCATCTACTGTGCACCACCTAATGTTGATATGAGAAAGCAAAACATTTCATCCTCATTCTTAACATATCAAGTATTTTTCTGGGTGTTTTTTGTTGGAATGGCTGGGCGAATATTTAGAAATTGTTAATACACAGCCATATACTGAAGGTGCCTGAGTTTTTTTGGGATGAGAGATATCTATACCCCCATTCACTAGAAAATGAGATATCTGGGTTCCAAATAGTATTAATGTTGAATTATTTTGGTAGTCTAGCTAAAAACACACACACACACAAGCAATTGCCTGTTAGCATGTGTATGTCTATAACTATCTTTCGAGTTATATTGGAGTGCTGAATATTTTCTTAAATTTGCTCTCTGTTTAGAGTAGCCTGAAAATCTTACTGACTCAGAATCAGATTTCTGATCAGCCCCTCTCTTAAAGCTTATCAAGGACTAAATATAAATCTTATATTTTAAAATTATGTTTTATTTAAATAGTATCTTGTGTAAGATTGTTAACCTTAGAAGAATGGATAATGGTTATAAGAATGTAGGTCTTAGATATTTCTCATGAGTCAAAACAAAGCAGCTTAAAAAAAGAAATTAAAAGCATAAGTGGGTGGCACTGGCTTAATGCTGTTAATGTTTCTAAAAGTCGCTACATTTAATTATATACCTGATTCCTATTAAAATACCTCTAATTAGCACTGTTTTCTAGAAGATCTGAATTCATTGAATATTTTTATATTTTACATGGGCCAGTTTATATACGGTTATTTCCATTATTATTTCCTATAGCCACATGCTCTTTGTACCTTTTGTAGTTTCATTTGCTTTACTGGGTTTAACACTCCATATGTTTCTGGGTGTTTCTCATGTGTTAGCATTTGTATAAAGAAACTGGTCCATGTAAATAATTCTCATGTTTTTTTGTCAAATGTTTAAGCCACTAGTTGATGTACGGTATTTCTCTAGATA